GATGGTTTTCAATTTTTGTGGCATATTAAAATCATCTGAATATCTTTTAAAGTAGACTATTGACCAGATTCCAGGCCTTTTGGTTCAGAGAGAAGTTGTAGATCAATTTCTTAGAAGTGATTCCAGAGTATGGCCAGGGCTGAGAACCACTACTATAAAGGATTCCCTGGGGTTCTCTTTTGGGGTATTACTCTATTTGTTCTCCATAGTTTATCTTATCCATTTGCATATTTTTAACAATCACTTGATGACTTCTCCAAGACTCCTGGTAGTCAATCTCTGGTTATTAAGAAGTAACTGAGCTAACTCACACTGTTAAGAACACTAAGTGGCTGACTAGGGAGTTATTTCTTTGCCTCTTCCTCAATATCTTTCTCTCAAGAGAATCACTTATATACTATAACCCTCCCACTCAAAAAACTTACTATTAAACAAACAAAAAAGCTCTATGAGTGGGCTGGGGATTTAGCTCAGTGGTTCTACCACCTACTTTACAAGCGCAAGGTCCCGAGTTCAATCCCTGGCACAAAACAAAACAAAAACAAAAACAAAAACAAAAACTCACTATTGCTGGGGATTTGGCTCAATGGTTCAGCAGCCTGCCTCGCAAGTGCAAGGGCCCGTGTTCAATCCGTGAAACAAACAAACAAACAAACAAAATTCACTATTTGCAAATCAGTTAATTCTAAAGTTGAAAAAATTTTGTGAAGATGATCCCATAGTTTTTGCTGCTATCCCCACCTTGCCCGCTTCCCTGATGCTACACAATTAACTCAAAATGTCTCTCTTCTACCTCCAACATATTCTCTTTCTCTACAAACAACAAATGTTCATTTCTAATGTATGAGAGTAGAACTCTTTTAGATGGATATCAATCATACATCACACCTAGTTAAGCATTTGCTTTATTCTCTGTAAAGGCATGCTAATATTTTAGTTATATCATGAAGCATATGCTCAATAAATATAACTGAATCAAGGGGGCAAATACTTTGAAGTAAAATTGAACATAACAATTTTTGGCAATTCCATGCAAGATCTTTTAAAGTACTTAAAGTTTCTAGTCAGAATCTCTAAAAGTCAGAATTTAGCTTTTCAGTCGAACTTTCTTCAAATGTCATCCTATAAGGTACAAAAGACATTTTGGCTTCTTAAACCCATTAGGGCTTGGCCCCTGGCCCTCACAGTTTTACTGAAGCTGTTTGAAAAAAAGAAAATTATTACCCCTGAGTTTGTAAATCCATTAGTCTATTTTCAGTGGTCATTTCATGTAACTTTCTGCAGAATATGACCCTGCTGACTACTTTTGCATTCTGAAATCCTCTCTACACTTGGACTTCGAAGTACTACCCTTTACTGCTTTTCTTTTTCCTTTTCTGACCATTTTTCCCTCCAACTCCATGTTGATTCCTATATACTGTCCTCAACCTTCTTACTTGACATGCTGTTCCTGGGTGATCCACGGTTTCAATAGCCATATATGTGAATATATCCCCCAAATCTTTATCACTAACTCAACTCCTCTTGCTTGTGTATGTCTGTGTGTGTTTGTGTGTAATCATGTAATCCTGTATTTTAAAACCCTCTCGTACCTTCAATGCAACAAACATTTTTGTCATTGCCATTGTACCCTTTTATATCTCCATCATGTACATTTGCCATTTCCTTTATCTTAAATGCCTATTCTTCCTTCAAAACAGAGCTCAAATGCTACCTTGTAAAAATTTTTTCTTAAATTTTCTATGCAGCTAGTTGCTTTTTTAGCACATTCTGTACACATATTTATATTGTATATAATTCTGTTGGCTCTGCTTCTGTGGATTTAAACAATCATAAATAAAAAATATTCAAAATACAGTAATATCTACACTGAACATGTACAGGCAGTTTTTTCTTCTCATTATTTCTTACCATTACTACCTAAACAATATAACTATTTACATAGTATTGGGTATAAGTAATCTAGGGATAAAGTACACAAAAGAATGTGAACAGGTCATATGCAAATATTTCACAATTTCATATAAGGGACATGAGCATCCACAGAGTTTGGGGCCCACTTATTGTCTGTATTCTTTTCCACATGAGATTTTGAGTTCCTGAAGGCAAGACCCACCTTTACCCATCTTTTCATTCCAGGACCCTAGAACGGTTATCTATCCTCCAGTATTTGATCAGTAAATATTATTTGGAAGAATGCTATATTTTTGATTGCCTATTTACTTGCTAATTTTTTAGCCAGATTTTAATTTCACAAAACACTATAATGAATGTACTATGGGCTAAATATGGTTAGGTGGGCTAGTGCAAGATTCTACCATTTATAAAAAGAGTGAGAACTCATGTCGAAGACAATTCATGAGGGAGAAAACAAGTAAACAGTTTAGAATAAAGGACCAACTTGATTTAGTCATAATAAAAAATACAACAATCACAATTCCCCAACAGACCTTATTCATCAAGGAATGAGGATGATATTCAGTTCTACATGGGGGTCTAACATTGACGTATCTATGGACCTTGCCTAATGGAGCCGCATCCTGAAAGATCAGGAAGGACATAATTTAAGATGAAAGTTGTTTTTCTAAAAAATATGTGTCATACTGAGACATAAGCAATACACCTTGGTACACAGGTAGAAAACCACCTTAAAAGGAAAGACCCGCCCCCCGCCTGGCCGACATACACACACTGTCCATGACCACTGGAAAGCTATGGTACCACGAAGGCACAAGTGTTCGAGCTGCTACAGCAAAGAGAAAGCATCAAAATATATAGCAGAAGTGGAGAAACAGCAGTGTGTGCTCCTTTTGCTTGCAAAATGCCACCCAAGAGCTTCCATGAATGCTTCAGAGATCCCTTACAGCAGCTTAGGTCCTGAATGTGTATGAGGAGTCAAGAGAGAACAAAATTTGGGTTTTGCTATTTAGGTGAGGCAGAGGCCTAGGGAAATGTGAATTTTTTTGTAGTGACATTATTTTTCTCTAATATTTAGTTTGTTTTTTTCCTCTGTTAACGTAGTATTTTCTTATCCCATTTGTTTTCAAATGGTATATCATAGCTTTTCATTTATACTATAATCTTGCTGATACATAAAAGTAAGGTCATGTATCTCCTGAGTTTCATTTGTTTTTTCAGATTTGGTTTGCTTGGTTGCCCTATGCTGTCCAAAATACATTTATTCTATCTCTTAATTTTGTTTCTTCATAATGTTCCTGTGAGTTTTATTGATATCTAGAACTATATATCAAAATCTAGTCATAGCCAAAATAGCTAAGTTACATATATACCTGTTGTTGAAAAGCCCATTTGTATTTATTACAGTGGGCAAGGAGAGAAGTCAGGTTGGTTGTGGGAAAAGAAGCAAGCTCTAAACATCTATATCTGTTTAGTAATAAAACAAAGCTGGAACTATGTATTTGTATTTTAAGTGAGTTTTGCACTCCTGTGATATTTCTATGTACTTCTCCTCCAAAGCTTACCTCTGATTTTATACTGGCAAAGTCAAGAATACTGATATGCAGTTCCATCCAAAGTGGATTATAAACACATGAAATTTATTATTTTAACAGGTAGCAAATGTAAAGAACATCAAGAAAGATCTAGAAAAAATCATATGTGATAGATCAATACTAGATTTTTAAGGGAGAAATAAGAAATCCCTTTCATTCATCAAACTTCTAGAAAGGATAGGCTATATTCTAGGGACACAAAGGAGAGGAGTTAGGGGAAGTTCCTGTAGCTACAGTTATTACTGCAAAACATAGAATATCCCATTATAATTTGATTACATAGTTTATATTCATATCTTCCAAAGTAGTATGGGAGCTCCTTGAGGCAAGTATACTGTTTGGCTTTTCAATTTCTTTAATGGAACCAGTGTAAGGCAACAAGCAGTCATGCAATAAAAGTATTTCCCTATAATTTCACCATTTCCTTACTATACAGCTCACGCATTTTGGCTACATACAATATTGAAAAGATGTTCACTGAAATCTAAAAGGATATTGAAAGGAATATTGTTTACTACAATATTGAAAGAATGTTTCATAAATCACTAGAAAACTCCAAAATGGCAAACCCATTGGTCTTTACCCTTTTTTATTCTATTACAGAATATATCATTGTTGAAAATGCTTGCCTTTCTTGCCTTCTTAAAAGATCCTCTCACTGCTCTTAGGACAAATGTCTGGATTCTCTTTACAAATGTCTAAATGTTCTTTGTCTATCTTCTTTGCAAGCTCTGCTTTTAGCAATTAAATGGAAGTATTTTCAAGTTTCTATCTGAATCTTTTATTCTTTAATAGTTCCTCTAATAATCTTTTCAGTTCCATACTATAACAGAATGCTCAAGAACCTAACCCTTTTGTGTTGAAAACTATATTCCTATTTCTTTTTTTTTCTTTTGTATTGCAAAAACAAAATGTTCTAAAGAAGGCATTGATTGTCTCAGTTTCCTTACTTGTGGTTAGCTAATATGACATCCTCGGGGCCAATTATTTTCAATGATTCAATTAAATTTATGATTTTTAACCTCATTTCACTTAAACCACATGCTTATATTAACAATTAAAAATATTTAATAGTAGCCAGGCATGGTGGTGCATGCCCATCATCATAGTGCCTGGGAGGTTGAGGCAGGAGGATCACTGTGAGTTCAACACCAGCCTGAGCTACACAGTGAGTTCCAGCACAGCCTTAACTAGCTAGTAAGACACTGTCTCAAAAACAAACAAAAGTTTAATAGCAAACACAGTGTGAGTCTATATTTCTGATTTTGGAAAGTATACATTTATCTGAAGATATATTTACCATGTTCAAACTTGCAATCAGGTAGATATAGAAGCCTGCTGAAATTTCACACATGAATTGAGGGCAACTATTAAATTCTTCATGTGAATGTTTCTTTAACTTTCTGGATTATTATTTTTTAATGTAGGAGGTTCTTGGCTCTAAATATTATCATTTTATAAGACCATGTGAGATAGAATGAGTATTACCTGGATTCCTTGGAATCCGCTTTCTTCGGTCTCGGAAGGCTGCACCGGATTGTAGGGCTTCTAGGAGATTATCCATCACTCCGGTCTCATCACCTTCTAGAGGAAGAGAAAAATAGAAATTAATCTGGGAGCAATCAAAGTGAAAATGCAGGAAAATAAAGGAAAAATACTCCTGTCAGATTCATATAACAGCCCTAAATTAAAGGCATACCTCTGTTTTAACATAATGGAGCCTGTCAGTTTTTGGCATCACAGCCTACTTGGCTCATTACTCAACATTTAGCAAAATTCAACCTAATCCCACTGTTCTCTCAATTTAAAAACCTTGTCTTTTTTATTATTGATAACATGCTCTTTATGCAAATAAACAGTAGCTGATCAGCTACTTCTGCCTTCCTGTTAAGACTTTTATAAGATAAGATATTCCTAAGCAGAAAAAAAGACACTGACCCAGCTTAATGCAATCAATATGCACGGTGTGATTTGATGAAGCACAGTTATACAAGGTTAAATACTGATTGTATTAATACTTTCAGCATTCAATCATCATCATACAATTACCTCAAAGGACACTTTCTGAAAATACATTTGCATTCAATTCTTACCTAATAAACACATCCCTTACTTATTTTGAAATGCTGAGAATATATAAAGAAAAGGTGTCCACATCACCTGAAAGACTACATTTTACATTTGAATATCAGCCAAAGTCTCACACCCTTTTTAGAATGCTGTTGTGTGCCTAAACTTTTCTTGCAGTAGGGTAAAATGCTAGGAAGTCAGGAGCAGAGTAATCAAAAAATGTTCATGAAAATTCCTAACAGACAGCATTTAAAACATTTCTCCTTACACTTATCTTTGACAACTCTGGCTATAAAACACATTTTTAAGATTTATTAGAGCATTTATCTCAAGGTGTCAATTACTAGAAACTCTACTAAGCTGTGGATGATCCACAGAGAGTTGAGCCCTCTTATCCCAACTGGCCTAACTGATGAAAGGGAACCCTAACTATGTTCTCTGCTTTGAGCTGTAGCTAAATGTATGGGTCTGTGGATGAACATATTTATAGGTAAGAGAATTAAGAAGGGAGAAGTGAGAGAGAAGACATTATTTCTGATAGTAGTTGACCCAAGGTTAAATGTAAATCCTACTTTGTTTAAAGAATTAACCATAGGTTATCATATCACAGAAAAAATTCTCTATGGTCAAGAACAAGCTAAAATCTTTTTGGTTATGCTCTTAATTTGACTTGAGACTTCTTCAATGCTATAATAATTTATTATTTTAAAAATAAACTCAAAACAATAAATTCTCTAAGACAGCATAGTGAATAAAAATGAAGGGAAACACAAAAGTTCTCAGGTAGGGAATTCGGGAAAAACAAAAGGAAAAGAGAGCCATGGTGACTAAATAATGAAAGAGGATTGCATTTAATAGTAATTGAAGTCATCCCCTGTTTATTATCAGATCATAGTGCAATCAAACTAGACATCAATAGCACAAGAAACTATAGAAACTTCACAAGCACATGGAAACTGAACAACACTCTCCTAAACAATCAATGGATTACAGAGGAAATTAAAGAAGAAATTAGACAGTTTTTACAAATAAATGAGAATGCCAATACAACATACAGGAATCTTTGGGACACAATGAAAGCAGTTCTACGTGGAAAATTCATAACATTGAATGCCCACACTAGGAAAACAGAGCGGGCTCAAATAAACAACTTAACGATGAAACTTAGACTCCTAGAAAAACAAGAGCAAGAAAAACCCAAAGCTCGAACAAGAGAGGAAATTATAAAGATCCGAGCAGAAATCAATGCAATTGAAATTAAGAAAACGATACAAAAAATAAATGAAACAAAGAGCTGGTTTTTTGAAAGAATAAATAAAATTGACAAACCCTTAGCTAATCTTATCAAAAAAAGGAAAGAAAAGGCTCAGATCCATGCAATTAGGAATGAAAAAGGCGAAGTCACAACAGATCCGAAAGAAATCCAGAGGATCATGAACACCTACTTTGAGAACCTGTACTCTAATAAAATGGAAAACACAGAAGAAATGGACAGATTTCTAGATACTTATGAATTACCAAAGTTGAACGAAGAAGATAAAAACATTTTAAACACCCCAATCACAATCAGTGAAATTGAAAATGTAATTAAAAACTTACCAACAAAGAAAAGCCCAGGCCCTGATGGATTCACTGCTGAATTTTACAAGACATTTAGAGAAGAACTACTACCATTACTCTTCAAACTTTTCAATGAAATTGAAAGAGAAGCTATACTTCCAAATTCATTCCTGGAAGCAAGTATCACTCTGATTCCCAAACCAGAGAAAGATACAACCAAAAAGGAGAACTACAGACCAATCTCCTTAATGAATATAGATGCAAAAATCCTTAATAAGATACTAGCAAACAGAATACAGAGGATTATTAAGAAGATCATCCATCATGACCAAGTCGGATTTATTCCAGAGATGCAAGGGTGGTTCAACATACGAAAGTCAGTGAATGTAATACATTATATTAACAAAGTCAAGGACAAAAACCATATGATCCTCTCAATAGATGCAGAAAAAGCATTTGATAAAATTCAACACCCATTCATGATAAAAACCCTGCAAAAAATTGGAATAGATGGTCTATACCTCAATTTAATAAAGGCTATTTATGAAAAACCATCAGCCAACATCATATTGAATGGCCAAAAACTGAAAACCTTCATGTTAAAATCAGGAACAAGACAAGGATGCCCACTATCGCCACTTCTCTTCAATATAGTTCTGGAAACATTAGCCACAGCAATTAGACAAGAGAAAGAAATTAAAGCAATAAAGATAGGAAAGGAAGAAGTTAAACTATCATTATTTGCTGATGATATGATACTCTACATTGAAGATCCAAAAAACTCCACCAAAAAACTTCTAGACTTAATTGACAGATTCAGTAAAGTATCTGGATACAAGGTGAATACCCAAAAATCAATAGCCTTTCTATACACAAATAACAGACAGACAGAAAGAGAAATAAGGGAAAAAATTCCTTTTACAATAGCATCCAAAAAAATGAAGTATCTAGGAATCAATCTAACAAAAGAAACAAAAGATCTCTACACTGAAAACTACAGCACTCTGAAAAAAGAAATCGAAGAGGATATAAAAAAATGGAAAGATATCCCCTGCTCCTGGGTAGGAAGAATCAACATAGTGAAAATGGCCATACTACCGAAACTGCTATATACATTCAATGCAATGCCAATTGAAATTCCAACACTATATTTCACAGAACTAGAAAAAAGAATCCAAAAATTCATTTGGAACCACAAGAGACCTAGAATAGCAAAAGCCATTATAGGCAACAGTCACATGGCACCAGGTGTAACAATTCCCAATTTGAAACTATACTACAAAGCCACTGTGATAAAATCAGCATGGTACTGGCAAAGAAATAGGCCTGAGGATCAATGGAACAGACTGGAAGACACAAAAACAAATGCAGATGTACTCAGCTACCTCATCTTCGACAAAGGAGCTCACCATCCTCAGTGGAGGAAAGATAGCCTCTTTAATAAATGGTGTTGGAAAAACTGGATATCAACCTGTCACAGATTAAAATTAGACCCTTATCTTTCGCCATGCACTAAATTAAAATCCAAATGGATTAAAGATCTAAATATTAAAACAGAAACATTAAACTTGCTGGAAAGTAAGTTAGGCAGAACTCTGGAAGACATTGGTATAGGAAAAGACTTTATGAACAAATCCTCAGTAGCACGGGAACTAGCAGAAAGAATCAACAACTGGGATCTCATCTTACTAAAAAGCTTCTGTACTTCAAAAGAAACCATTAGCAGAACTAAGAGACAATCTACAATGTGGGAAAAAATTTTTACCAGCTGTACCTCAGACAAAGGACTATTATCAAGGATATATAAAGAACTCAAAACAATCAGTCCCCCCAAATATAAAGACCCGATCCAAAAATGGGCATCCGAAATGAACAGACATTTCTCATACAAAGAAGTGAAAGCAGCAAGAAAATATATGAAAAAATGTTCCACATCACTGGTCATTCGAGAGATGCAGATGAAAACAACACTGAGATTCCACCTCACCCCACAAAGAATGGCTGCTATCAAGAAATCACACAATAACAAATGTTGGCGGGGTTGTGGGGAGAAAGGAACCCTCCTCCATTGTTGGTGGGAGTGCAGACTAGTGCAACCACTATGGAAATCAATATGGAGATACCTCAAAGAGCTTGGACTGGAGGTTCCATTTGACCCAGCCATCCCTCTGTTGGGTATCTTTCCAAGAGAACTAAAAGAATCATATCACAGAGAAGTATGTGCACCCATGTTTATAGCGGCACAGTTTGTAATAGCTAAATCTTGGAAACAACCTATTTGCCCATCCGTTGGAAACTGGATAAAGAAGTTGTGGTTTTTCTATAAAATGGAATATTACTCAGCCATAAAGAGCGAGAGAATAGATTCATTCATAGGAAAATGGATACATATTGAAGATATACTCCTAAGTGAAATAAATAAGTCCCACATGTGTAAATACCAAATAGTTTCCCTGGTGTGAATATTCTGCAACAATGCATAAGATTCTAATAAGATTACTGACATTTAGAAATGGGAGGAAAGGAGCTAAAGGTGTAGGGAAGGTGTGATACGTAGGGGAAGAACAAAAAGGGAAAAGAAAAAAATGTGAGAGAATGAAAAGATGAAAATAAAGTGTTTGTAGATGGGGGGGGGAGGAGGGGGTGAAGGGAGGGCAGAGGTAAGGGGAAAAAAATGAGAATCAAGACTTGCCATGTAAAGGTACATGATCCCAACAATAAATGTAACTGTACTGTATCCCTAAATGTACCAATAAACTCAATAAAAAAAAAAATAGTAAGGTCACTGACACATCTGAACTAACAGCAATCATCTACTCTTTTTGTATTTATTTTTGTTTATTAGGTACATATACTCAGTATATCTTAATTCTTTTTATTCCCTTTCTTTTCCCCTATCTCCACCCTATCTCTTTGTCCATATCCCTTTCCCACATTTTTGTTTCATTTTTTTT